ACCTTTAATCCCAGCACTCGGGAGGCAGAGGCAGGCAGCTCTCTTGAGTTCGAGGCCAGCCTGGTCTACAAAGCTAATTCTAGGAGAGCCAGGGCTACACACACACATACACATACAAAACCTGTCCCCCCCAAAAAAAAGAAAGAAAGAAAGATGAAAGGAGAGAGAGAGAGAGAGAGAGAGAGAGAGAGAGAGAGAGAGAGAGAGAGAGAGCACACCAGAGGCGGTTGGAATCCTGAAGCTCTCAGCACCTGCCCCTAGTGACCTGCTTCCACCAGCAATGCCGCGCCTCCTAAGCTTCTCCAAATAGCACCATGGACTGGAAACCAAGTTTTCAAATACAGAGCCTTTGGGAGATAGTCTCTTTTAAACCACCACAATCACTGTGCCTTATTGCCTTGAGACGGTGTCTCCCTTAACCAGAACCTTGCTCTTTCAAACTAGGCGAGGTGACCAGGCTCAGGGTCCACCAGGCTCTACAGGGCTGGAGTTGCAGGTACATGCAGCCATTCATGGCTTTTTATATGGGTGTGGGCTATTTGAACACAGTGGTTCTGCTCACAAAGCAAGTGTCCTTCCTGACAGAGCCATCTCTCCAGCCCTGCATTCATTTCTTTTTATCACTGAGATAAAATACCTGACATGGACAGTTTAGGAAACCTTTATTTCAGCTCAAGGATTCAGAGAATTCAGTCCATCACGGCTGGGAGCTCAGAGCAGGAAGTTAGTTCACGTCATGGTCAACTAGCAGGCAGGTGGAATGATGGGGCTCTGTGACTTTCCTGCTTCCCCTTTGTTCTGAGACTCCAGCCCATGGGACGCTGCTGCCCAGAGTCAGGGTGGACCTACCCTTGTCATTTAGCCAACTCTGGAAACATCCTCACAGGCACACCCGGAAGTATGCCTTAGAAATGTCTGTAAGTTGCTTTTTAAAAATATTAATTTTTATATTTACTTGTGTGTGTGTGTGTGTGTGTGCACGCGCGCGCGCACACGCACGCACGCGCCTGTACACCATGTTTCAGGTTCAGAAGATGGTGTGGGATCCCCTGGAATTGGAGTTACAAATGCTGTGAGCTGCCCTGAATGGGTGCTGGGAACCAAAGTGGGTTCCTCTGCGGCAGCAATAAAGTGCTCTTAACCACTGAACCATCTCTCTAGAACCCCTCGGAGTTTCTTAATCTAATCCTTTAGATAATCACAATTAACCACCACAAGAGTACCCTTTGTTAATTTGACACCGAAACATAACACTTTTATTGTTATTTATTATTTTTATTATTTTATTATTGCCTGCATGTATGTCTATATACCACATGCATGCCTAGTGCCTGTTGAAGCCAGAAGAGGGCATCGGGTCTCCTGGAGCTGGAGTTACAGATGGTTGTCAGCCACTGTGTAGGTGCTGGGAACCAGACCCTAGTTCTCATTATGAGAAGCCAGTGCTCTTAACTACTGAGCCATCCCTCCAGCACAAATGCATCACTACAAATCATTTCTGTAACATGCAGAAACAAATTTTTAAAGGATGCAAACTTTTGTTTAAGATTTTTAAATTTTATTTTATAAATTTGAGTTTTGCCTATACACACACACCGCACACGCACCACACACACACACACACACACACACACACACACCACATGCAGTACCAGCAGAGGCCAGAAGAGGGCATCAGATCCCTGGAACTAGAATTAAGATGGTTGTGAGTCATCATGGGGGAGCTGGGAACTGAATCCCCATCCTTGGAAGAGCAGCCAGTGCTTTTAACCTCTGCATTGTCTCCCCAGTCCCACCCCCGCCCCAGATTCATTTTCTGAGAATGAATGGTTAGTGAAGTTGAATCTTAGAGGCATTTAACTGATAATTAATTTTGCTAAAATTTGACCATATTTAAAAAGTTTCATTGAGATAAGATCACATACTATAGAATTTACTTCTTTAAATTGTATGAATCCAGCTGGACAGTGATTGCACATGCCTTCAATCCCAGCACTTGAGAGGCAGAGGCAGTCAGATCTCTGTGAGTTTGAGGCCAGCCTGGCCTACAGAGCGAATTCCAGACAGCTAGGGATATGTAGCCTGTGCTGTTCTTTTAGGATTTTATTGTGATTTTAATTAGGTGTGTGTGTGTCTGCATGTGGGGGTGCACGTGAATGCAGGTGCCACTGGAGAACAGAGGCACTGGACCCAATGTGCCTTTGGGTTCTGGGAATTAAACTTGAGTCCTCTGGAAGAGTAATACATAGTCTTAACCACTGAGCCATCTCCACCTCCGGAAGCTGTGTTCTTCCGTCATTGTTCAAGTGGAATCATGCTGTGGTCTCCTGTTTGTGTTACTGGCCCATATTGCACAGTATAATGACTTGGAAGTTCACACTTGTTACAGCATGTAAAAGAATGTCATTATTTTGTTGCTGAGTGATGTTCCACTCTATGTACATCGGTGGACTGAGGTGGGTGTGAGGAGATCCTGGCTGCTGACAAGGCAGGAGTCAGCAGGGGCTGCCAGAAGTCTGGCTGGCAAACACAACCAAACCAGAAAGGACAATCCTTTCTGTCTTCTGGCTATTGCAATAAACAGCAACATACAGTTATTTGTCCTGGCTTTCAGAACTAGAATGGCTGAATCATGGGTTAAATCTGTATGATGAGAGACACAGCATCCCATCACAGCTGTGCCCCCTCTGTTCCCACCAGATAGCTGAGTCCAATCCCTCCACACTCTGATCAATACTTATTATCACTTCTTTGTTAAAAAGAAATCATATTCACCCTTATAGGAGAAAAATGGTCTCTCATTGT